GCTAGGATTACAGGCGTGAGCCACCGCGCCCGGCCCCAAAATATCATTTTTAATTATGTTAAATATATTGTCTTGTTTGAAGAATTGGGAAAGAATACATTTGAAAAGCACAAATAATTTTAAAGTATGATATAAAGTCTTCCACAGGATCAAAATTTATTGTTCTGTATATGACAAATCTAAATATAATATTATTTTTCTTAAATGAGATAAACAACCTGAAAATTACACAATTGATTGTTATTTATTTCACTGGCTCCCCAAAATCAGAGAGTGAATATAACACCAGGGCAGTTCAGTTCTTCTATTACAACTAAGGGAAGGGAGAGAATAATTGTGACTATCTGGAGAGTTCAGAACATGTTTTGTGTACTGTAGAGAATGTGGAGATAAAAGGAGAGAGAAGGCAATTCCATGTTGACTGTGGGCCAGACAATGCCAGGACTAGAAAAGTCCCATAAAGAAATGGTTGTGTTTATATTGTCTCTTATTTTAAGCTTGTTTTTCATTTCTTCTATGAAATGTGTATCTTTGTATTGATTAAAAAATATTACATGTCATACAAGTTATACATATAAATGTCTTAAAGTATTCTTGAGTGCTCTTTCACTAGGGATGATTTTATTGTTCAATGGAAATAAATAATTTTCTATCAGTTATGTTGTAGCATCTATAACATAGTGTTAACTTTTAGTAATATTATAAATAGCTATTTGAAGTGACTTGCTAACTGTACTACGCGCGTGCTCGGTGCTGCATTACTGCATTTTCAAAAAGATTCTGCATAATAGTTGTTGAGGCAGTAGTTGATCTTGAGTTCATCCATCCTGGGGGTTCCTTATTGTGAATCCCTCGTATTCCAGCAATAATAAATGTGGTGTTATTCAAATGAATTCAGCCCATAATAATAGCATTCATAGCCATCTATAAATAGTTGAAGAAACAATTGTATGAAATGCTTGATATTCATCTGAACCACTTTTTGCAATTTCACTTTTAAATTCAGATTTCAGAAATAACACAACAGTGGTGCTCATAAGATATTCAGATATTGTTGTTAGCTTTGCATGGAGAGGCTGATAAGTTTCTTAAAATCACACACTCTGTTTCACCAAATCTAAGAAATCCTGTATAACTATATACAATTATAAGAAATATGTAAAAAATACTGAATAAACAGCATTATGCGCCATGATTAAATATATAGTTTTACATGTGTTTAATGACCTTTCTAATTATTCCTTTTTTTCCCAGATACACCATCAGTTAAGATTATACCATCCACTCCTTTTCCACAAGAAGGACAGCCTTTAATTTTGACTTGTGAATCCAAAGGAAAACCACTGTAAGTGAATTAACGAGCAATAAAATTTTTTACTTCTTCTTCTATCCTGCTTTGATCATAGGCTTTAACTGTAGAAATCCATTGTTTTTGTCTTTTCTTGGTGGGCAAAGTGATCTCTAGAACAGAAAAACCCCTGAACCATGTCTTCATTAAATGTCTATGGAAGATTGGTTTTTACTTTGTCATCTAGTGAAGTTTCTGGGAAGGTTTCCAGCTGTGATTTCTTTTTCTTTTTTTTTCCCCAATAAGATATTTCAACCTGAAAGGAGCGTAGGTTTAATCAGCCACTGTTTACATCATCAGATTGATAAAAGCTGCACATTGCTGAACTTAGTTCTCCCAGGAGAAACTTTGAAAATGTTGAAGCATCCCCAAAATATGCCAAAGTTTCAAAGTTACATGAGGAATCATTTTCATAATAAGAGAAATCAAGTCTATATTTCTTATGTAGCAGCCAATGAGACATAATTGGTGAATGTGACATGCATGAAGGTGATGTGAATGAAAAGTCTCAAGCTCAATGTTTGCAATTGCAAAGTGATTTTGTTATTAGAATACATGTGCACTAATGTCACTTCAACTCGAAAACTTTACTTTTTGACATTCGTGTTTATAAACAACTCACTCAAAGAATACCTATTTTTAAGGAAAATTTAAATATGGATTATTCAAATATGGATTATTTAAGTACTATTTGAAAGCAATATGATCATTTTAATATGGTACTCCAGGCCTTGCTTTATGTACTTTACTTGCTTTTTTAAAAGCTTCCAAGTGATTTGCGTTTTGTTTAAATATTAATAAAGAAGAATTTAATCATTTTCTGTAATATAACTATATGGAATTGCTTCCGTACAAATCAAGTTAAATTACTAAAATTTTGCTTCCAAAAATATTTAAATTATTTAAGTGTACATTTTGAATTATCCCGTGAAGAATTTGTCTAAAAGAATTGTGAGATAGACGCCTGACATTTTAACTTCTTCAATTGTACGCCACTATATTGTTTACTATACTAAGTGAATCCACACCTTCTTTACCACAGTTCTGATACTTTAAAACTATTCTCTCTTCCAGTAATTATTTTCTAGAGATTATTTTTAATGTTTTCTTTCTAAGGTTTATCAAAAAGTAGTTATGCGTACATTTCAAATATGTGTATAATTTATACATTTAAATGAGGTGAAGGTAGGAAACATGATTTATAAAATGCTGGAAATAAATACATACATGCTCAAGTAACATCCAATTGTATTACAATGATCTGCTCTTTGGTTCTGTCTACTTCCAATAGTAGAGACATCATATTATTTGGAAGAATAATTACATTATAAGGTTATGTAATTACATATTTAAGTAGTTCATATCACGCACCTCAGATATGGTTGAATAGATGTGCCTTATTGTGGGTCTTGTTTCAATTCCCAGGGAATAAGCTTGGATATATTATAATCCTCTGCACTACAAATGAATGAGAAGCACAATAATCACATTTATTTTATTTAAGAACACTAATGTTTGGAAGTTTAGGAAATTCAAAAAAGATTATCTTTCTCAGAAGGATCCTGATTAATATAGCTTTGCACGAAGATAAGTGAGAGTCTCCCTATTTTAAAGAAAACTAAGATATAAAAATGTTAATGAAATTTTCCTTATTCATCCATATTTAAAATGGGTGAGTCAGAATTTGAATTCAGTTCAGTCCTATCCAAAGCTTCCATTCTTTCAATTATTTGCTGCTGCTTACATTGATGAATGTAAATTGCTACTTATGGTAGCCAAAGTTATTTTTGAAAAACTAGGTTGAGCCTGACAGTAATTTTCACCACTGACGTTGAACCTCTGGGTGCTTCAGGGTGAACAACTGGCTTGTCTCATGATACATTTTACTGTTGCCATCCTCCTGTTTCAGGCTTTCTTCTATATTTATACTCTTTCTGGAAACGTGTGCCAAATTTTTACCAAACTGATCATTTTTAGCACCAGTTCATAGTTATATATTTTTTCAAAAAACTATATTTAATATTGTATCTTTTGGCAATTAACTCATAAGCTTCAAGACGGTTAAAAAATGATCATTATATTTTATCTTTATTTTTATAGGTCCCAATGTTACATTCTATATGCTATGGTCCACAAGTAAATGTATATTAACTTATTCTCTTGTATTATATCCCCATTGCCAACTTTCCCTTTATCATTTTCTTTCCCTGTAGACTGCCAGACTATTGATGTTAAAGTTATAGTCAACTTCTTTGATTTCTGCCTTTCTTTAGACAGTTGTTTCTCTTTTATTCTTCCTAAACATCTTGAAATTAACTCCTCTACATTTTCAAAGTAACTATCATTTTCATTAAATGAAAACATTAATCTCTTTAGAGACAATCTAACTTCTAGCCTCTCTCTAGTTTATATCCTATCTCCAACAGTGCCAGATGAGGCAAATAGGACAAAAAGCAAGGGAATACTGAAAAGAAATCATTGGATGAAATCTTACTGATACTAAAGAAAAAGTCTCACTAGAGCAAAGAGAACGGAAGGCAAATTGAAATGGATTAATCAGGGAGTTAGTAGGTGGTGGAGAAGTTAAGAAAAGCAGTAATGGGAAGATCATTCATTTCAGAAAATGAATCATGAAAAGTGGAAGAGGGATGAGAAAAAACTATGTGAAATACAAGTTTTAAAATAAAATATAATTTAAAAACATAATAAGGAGCCTTTTGTATGTTAAGATAGGATCAAAAGAGTGGGAGTAAAAGTGAACTGTGTGATGCATCCAATGGGCAGGTTAGAATTGCCCATTTTAATCTGGTAATCACTGTCGAATTTCCACTCCATTACTTTGCAGCTATTGTACCTGATTCTCCATTTTGTTACTTTAGCACCACTGAGAAGCAATGCTATGGCTTTGCTTTTGCTTGGCTCCCCAAACACTTAAGTGTTATTATTTTTACCACTTACCTGATCCACCTCTAATGTGGAGGTAAGAAACAGAAATGGATAATGGCTATGCGATTCTACTCCATCCTGTACCTGAGTTAAATAATATCTTTAATTCATGATCAAACCTTATTTTTTTAAAAGTTTTTGACCAATATATAATTTCCTGAAGAATGAGTTATTCATGGTAATTAGGTATGTTGGTAGCAGACAAAATCACACCACTATCTTGTGAGTAATTCACAACCTGAGAGTATGGCTCAAGTTGTGCTGAGCCTCCTGTTTCTAACCTGCCCTCCTGTGTGCTAATGTTGTTTTTCTTGTTCTAAATGTGAGGGCCCCAGTGACTGTTTATGAACAATCATGCCTTATTTGCCTGCTTTGGACTGAAGCCTTTTGCCATTTTCCTGTGGAACAGCTGCATAGCTTGGGCCAGGACCAAATTGTTCCACTTGACACTACCATAGAAGCATCCTATTCTTTCCTTAAAAGAGAGATTACTGTACATGTCTGTCTATTGTTTTAATTTTAGTTTAAAGTGAGGACCAAGCTAATGCCAGCCATTTTTCTTTCAAGTCCCCAGAGTTTTTGCAACCCTCTTTCTTCTTTGGCTGAATTCCCAGACAGCTTTCAGGAGGCAGCATTCTCCATTTATAAAAGTGGAGGGGAACAAAACAATACGAAACCTTTTTATTACACTAAAGTCATGAACTTAAATGGCGTGAGGTTGCCCCCCACATGCTGGAGCTAATGAATCATCATTCATTTTAATCAAATGTTTAATGCTTTGTAAATTCACTTCAAAAAAGCACTAGGACATTTTCAGTGCAATAAATAAATATTTGACACTTATTCTATGAAAGAAAATAATTATAAGTATCAATACATTTTTCTATGTATTAAGCACAATGTTTCTGTTGTACTTACTGTTTTATTTTCTGTAACCACAATTTTTCTTTTGTTCTTGGCATAAATCTAGTGCACATAATCGGATAGCATATAACATCCCTACTCTATATAAGAAGAAAGATTTTAATCTTTAGGAAGACGGATCACATATCCTATAGCAATGAGTGAGGTGTTTTAGAGGAACAATTACACATCCATTTTGGAAATGACCAAGAATTGAAGGGATCTGATACATACCTATTAATGTACTGTCTTATGAGCATAACAGAGATTTTTTTTTTAAACAGACCAAAATTAAGGCAAAACAGTCTTATATCAACTCTGGTTGCTCAGTCTAACATGTATCTTTTTACAAATCACAAGTTATTTACAAATTATTAATATTATACAATTATATTAATATTAATATATTAATATTATACAATTCAATTACAGTCAGAGGAAATAACAAGACAAACCAGGAGTTAAAGAAAGCAAGTTATCACCAGAGTGAAATGTTGTTTACCAAAATAGGATAAAATATGAATTTTAAAATAAGGATATTGATTCAATATAATAGCAATTTCACATGATTTGATCTAATGCAAAGTAGATGTTATTACAGAATATTTCCCTTTCTTCTACTAAATAGAAAGCCATCTAATTAATCATCAAGTTCTACGTTTATGTTCAAATAGAATGACTAGGTTGTTACACTTTGAGGCACAAAAGTTTTTGTGGTACAGTGAAAAGAGAATGTGGAACCAGATTTGAATTATAAATCTGTGCATATCCATGGCTTGAGTATTCCTGAGCAAGTCACTTAACCATACCAAGTATTTTTTTCCTTTTTTTAATTGATAAACTTTACTTATAGCAGTTTTAGGCTCACTGCAAAGTTGAACAAAAAGTACATAGACTTCCCATGTAACCCCTGTCCCGACAGACTCACAGGCTCCTTCCTTGTCAACATCCCATACCGGAATATTACTTTTGTTACAATCAATGCACCTACATTGACTCATCATTGTGACACCAAAGTCCATAATCCATAGTTTCTCATACACCAAGTATTTTTTATCAAGAAAGAACATAGTATCTACCAAAGAAATTATGACACTATATATGAAATGTTTTCCTCTAAGTAATTTTGTAATAATAGTCATGTTGAT